ATTTTAATTTATTGTAGTAGACTCTAATGATGGCAGATAACCGAAACGTGTTAAATTTAAAACTGGTTAATTCTTTGTAAATCTTATAGATTGAATTTGAAGATGTCTGGAAGAAAGAGACTATTCGGAAAAATGATTTATCTTTGAGTATCAAGTTTTATTTGTTTTCAAAAAGGAGGAGCATATTTAGATAAAGAAATATCGCGGATGTCATTACTCGAGCTAACTCAAACCAATAATACAAATTCAGTTAATAATGAAAATTTAACTTTTACTCTGCAAGCTTTTTATTTTGCAAATATATTTATTATCTCTGTTTTGTAATTGAGTATAAAAAAATTATAAAATGTATTATAGCTCAATCAGAATCTTGTTATCTTAATCGAATACATGATGTGGTGTCAACAAATATCAAAGAGAATACTCAATCATGTTAGTATAATACGATATAGATATAATTAATAATAAATTAATTTGTTTTCGATCAATTTGATTTGTTTTCTCGAACAAATATTGAAATTTGGCGTTTGATATGTCTATGATTATTACATATTTGCAGAATGATGTTATCTTGAAAACCATAAACATATTTTAAGAAGATTTATTTAAAAATAAAACAAAAATTTGGTTGTAAGAAATGAATGCTTTCTGAGATACCATGGATATATTTTCAGAACTGTAAAATGTAAAGAATTTCAAAAATATTGACCAATTCAATGTTGAACTCCAAATAAGATCAAAGTCCGGTCAGGAAGTAATATCACTATTCGTATCACAATTTGCTGCATTCTATGACTTGGTATTGGAAATAGAATTCCGCCTACATATATTTATTTAATAAATGGATGTTAATTTGTTTGTGTAATTAATGTTTATGTGTAAAAGTAAAGCTTATTTTTTTAGCAATTTTAAACATTTTTTAAGTTCTTGGCAAAAATTGTTGTCCCAGGATTTGGAGCTGAGATTTTATTGTAATTACAATGTCGATGCCATAACAGTGACTAATTCTGACAAAGCTACCTCATATAGAAAAATATAAAAAGTGCATCAAACTTTTATTGTTTAAATTTGATATGAGATAAAATATATCTTTAGTAAATTTATTTTTTTTACTGTTTGTAAGTTAATACTCTGCACATCAATGACCATTATTAAAAATTACTGGGATTATAAAGGTTATGAAGATTTTTTGACATCTACTCTTCCTCAAATCTTGGTATTATACCATGCTGGCTATAAGTGCGCGCAAAAATATCGTTAAGGGCTACTATTTTTGTATCAATCGTTTAATGTTGAGAAGGTACACAAATTCTTGCCACAAATTTTATTAAATAGTTCCCAGATTTCTTTTATTATAACAACTTAGTTATTTGCCTTTGTTTCTGCTCTCGTTGTTTTATCATTAAATCGTATGAAGTTTGAAGTTAATTTAAATCTGCTTCGACATGGCAGAAAATTGGCTACTAACTAAGCCATATGATTCTTGGACTGATGATTGCATTACTAATACGTAAAATTGGAAAACTTTTGTACGTCCTCCCATTAGGCGCACACTAGTCACACCTCTACTAGGCCACTAGTCTTCGAAGGCATAAATTGCAGCCTTTTCAAAGTTGTACAGCCAAAAATATGTTATACCTGTTATTATCCAATACGAAAGCGAATAACTGCACGTTGCAAAGATGATTGTCAATTTTAAGGTGCTTATTGCGTCCGTCTGAGAAAAATCTTCTTAGTTTTCTGTTGATTTACTTTTACACTTCCCTGTTGGCAACCTTTAAGAACTGTCTTTGGAACTACCTTCTCTTGTCCTGATTTTAACGATTCTTTGTTTAAGAGAGGATCCTATCTAGTCAAAGTGTTACAGGCACAAAACCAGAAAACTTTGTTTTATTAAAAGCACCAAACGTCAATAAACATTCCTCCAAATGCCCCTGTGTTTAGCATTTCAATAGACGTATCATGGATGTATGCAAGGGACTTGATAAATATATCGATTTTCTAGTCTGTTTAACACATTTAGTAGAAAAGAGATTAATTGACCTTAAACGACTTTGTAGGAAGTATCTGGCTAACATTTTGATACGTAGCAAATAATAGACCTTGAAATAATCAGGCTTGCATAATTCCATCTTGTCCTGGCATTTTAAACGGTACAAATGTATTAATACCTTAGTGTGCCTAATCGTCGGTATTACGTAAATGATATGTTTCTTTCTCAATTCCTGCAGTCATTTCAGAACCTCAGCAATGAATTCGTTAATAGCGGAACTCTTTGCAAGGTTTTCGATAATCCGTTCTCCCTGAAATTCACACTTTCCTCAAACACTGTAGAAGGAAGGTAGTCTTTGCAAAAAAACTTTCATTACATGCATTCGCCAATGTAGTATTTATTTAAACCGCTAGCTACTCCTTATGCATAATCATTGAGGACATATGTTCTCTGGTACATTTTCATATGATATTATTAGTAAATAGGTGCTTACTGTACATCCTTTGGTTTTGATCAGATCTGCTGAAAACTTTTCATATTACCGTATATGTACCGTATTATAACACCATTATTTATTGTTGTTGTGTTAGGTTCGCCCATTTTTAAGCCTGATCTATATAAACTTACGTATATTTATGTGTATAAATGTACAATACAATACAACATCTAACTACGCCGTAGTTGTGCTACCACCTAAACAGTCAGCTAATGTGAGGTAGGGCCATTACCGGTTCTTCGAGTATAACATAGTTACGTGTTGTCATTTTTTCATCATCTATTTCAAATAACAGTGTATCACTAAAACAGATTATTTGCTATTCGTGTATATTGTCAAAGGTTTAATTCATTCAATGTTAAATTTAGCAATAAAATCATGGTAACTTTTATGGCAACTAATTCCACACTATTATCGACCCTTACTGTTTCTTTACAATGTCCGTGTATCTTTAATTATTTTCCTACAATATATTTATAAAACCACCAAAAGTTGTTGAATGTATTATATCGGCAAAGAATAACAAGATAATACGACAAAATAAACTCAACAATCGAAACCACATACCGCAGAACACTGAATTACATCCTAATCTAGGTTTAACGCACTAAAAGGAGGAGATATTGGTTCGGATAATCCTGATACATCAAGGTTACGTTAGATTACATTACATAGGAAGAGATTAATACTCATACTTTCAATTAAAGCTATGTTAAAAGATTAATAAGAAATAAATATAACAATTTATTTTTGTTTATACATACAATAAATACACAACAGCAAACTAAAAACAGAGACTAATTAATAATTGGTTGTGCTCTGATATATTTTAGTGTTTTTTACATATTGTGCCATAGCACCCATAGAGCTACGCATCACCGATCCACAGTTTTTCCAAATACATGGGCATCTCCTCAGTTTAGTAAACTAGCATCTTCCTCGTGTTTGTTTAGTCAATCTTTTATCCTTTTGTTGTAACATTTATTTCACCTGCACACTCCAGCTCTTTGTGAAAATCATTACCTTCAAGACTTATGAGAGTGTAATCAGGTTCTGCTTGAAATAGAAGGTTATACCTATTATTTGCTAATGGAGATATTTTGAGATCTTTCCACGAATTAACAATGTTAAGTAATGTCAAGTGGCAGATTGAATAGTATAATTTCATGTGCTTTGAAGGGTGCGTATTCTTCCGGTGGTTTTTCTACATTCTTCTCATTCNATGAATTACCAATGTTAAGTAATGTCAAGTGGCAGATTGAATAGTATAATTTCATGTGCTTTGAAGGGTGCGTATTCTTCCGGTGGTTTTTCTACATTCTTCTCATTCTTAATAACCACCATGATAGCATGTTATAACCACCTCATTTAAATAACGTTTTAGTATCTTTTTTTTTTGTATTTATTGATTGAGTGAAGTGGTATTTATATGCTAATATATACAATGTATTTTCCATTAGGAATCACAGTACATAAAAGTCAAAGAGTCACTATTATTGTGGTAATAGTGTGCCGAGAATCAATGCATACTGTCATCATTGCCATATCTAAAGCCGTTATTCTCTTATTCATTTGCCTGCTTTATCATTCAACCGATCTGGTCGGCATTTTATAGCTGTGTTATCAACCCAGCTATAACACATGTTGAAACACCATAACCAATGCATTACTTACTAAATTTTGGCGTCATACTACTCATGCATAGTTTCGATAACCGTTTCTGACCACCAAGATTTCAAATACTTGCGATTAGTACAGAACCCGATTTACTTGAATAACGTAAAGCTTTTTAATCTTTGATAACTCTTTTTTGAGCAACTGTTAAATGCACGCTTTCCTTCTTTTCTACTTTCCGACCACATTCCATGGTTGCAGAATATGTAACTCAGTATATGTACAGTGTGTTAATTAAGTATCGTACCCGACATCATCATTTGCAAGTATGCAACCAATATCGCAGTATTGGTATTGCAATAAGCAAATCGCGTAGATCACAGTATTGGTATTGCAATAAGCAAATCGCGTAGATATTGGTTGCATACTTGCTATAATTAATCAACACCCTGTGTATTCTTCCATCGGCTAACACCTTAGAGTAATTAACTAGATACTTATCTAAACGTACTTTTATAGCAATATAAATAAACACCATGGCCTGGAAATTGTAGATTGAAGTGTACTGAGTTATAAAACAAAATGTTTGTATCATTGTTGAAATCCTTTAAAACTACCTTTTTATTTTACGGCGGAAGTGAACAATCTTTATGAGACAGTTTTTATGAGGGCAGTTAATATTGTTCCTGTATTTTCTAATGTTCTTGAAAAAATGATGAAAATGCAGTTTGGTTGTTGAATTATGTGTAGAATAACAAGAAAGCAACATCTGGCTTTCGTAGTCTACACTTTCTTCCTATGAACACAAAATCGTAATTGATAAATCTCAAAACACTACAATTGTTACAAATACCACAAAATGTAATATAAATTTACATTTTTGTTATTTAATTTTAGATGTACGGTGGAATGAGAGGAATTAAAGGTCTCATTTGTGAGACTTCCGTTCTTGATCCGGATGAAGGTATCAGATTCCGAGGATATTCAATTCCGGAGTGCCAAAAACTTCTACCCAAAGCGGAAGGTGGTAGCGAACCCTTACCAGAAGGTCTTTTCTGGCTTCTAGTCACTGGGGAAATCCCCACAGATGCTCAAGTAAGAATAAAAATTCAAATAAAGAATTAAAATATTTAGTAAATACTTTTCAGGTTAAAGCGTTATCTAAAGAATGGGCCGATCGTGCCGAATTACCACCTCACGTCGTTACCCTTTTAAATAACCTCCCCAATAAGGTACATCCGATGTCGCAATTTTCAGCTGCTGTAACCGCTTTGAACAGCGAGAGCAGATTCGTTAAGGCGTATACTTCCGGTGTACATAAGACCAAGTATTGGGAGTACATTTATGAAGATAGTATGGATCTCATCGCTAAGTTACCTGTCATTGCGGCTACCATTTATCGGAATACTTATAAAGATGGTTCCGGTATTGGAGCTATTGATACTTCGAAAGATTGGGCTCATAATTTTACCACCATGCTCGGTTATGATAACCCCGATTTCATTGAATTAATGAGACTTTATCTTACAATTCATAGGTTAGATTTTATTCTAAGATATTTTTAAATAAATCGTAATTAATATTTTTTTAGTGATCACGAGGGTGGAAATGTTTCTGCTCATACAACACATCTTGTTGGTTCAGCTTTAAGTGATCCTTATTTATCATTTTCTGCTGGCATGAATGGTTTGGCTGGGCCACTTCATGGATTAGCCAATCAAGAAGTATTGGTTTGGTTACAAAAATTAAGAGAATCGGTTGGAGATAAATACACGGAAGAAGGATTAAAAGATTTTATTTGGAAAACATTAAAAGGCGGACAAGTTGTACCCGGTTATGGACACGCTGTGTTAAGAAAAACAGATCCTCGTTACACGTGTCAAAGAGAATTTGCTTTGAAACATCTACCAAATGATCCATTATTCAAAGTAAAATAATTCTGATCGTAATTGTATTAATTTGACTAATTTATGTGTTTTTTTAGCTTGTATCTGATGTGTTTAAAGTAGTACCACCAATTCTATTGGAACTTGGCAAAGTAAAGAATCCATGGCCAAATGTTGATGCTCATTCGGGTGTTCTCCTCCAATATTATGGTCTTAAAGAATCGAGTTATTACACCGTTTTGTTTGGAGTTTCCAGAGCGCTGGGTGTTTTAGCTTCGTTGATTTGGGATCGTGCTTTAGGTTTGCCCATTGAAAGACCAAAATCCCTTTCGACTGACGGCTTAATGACGGCCCTCAAGGCATCATAAATCATACCGATAGCGGGTGAAAACCACACAATAAAAAAAAACAGAGCGCAAATTAATCGTAAGCCCACCCATTCGTACCGCGGTCAGTAAGCCCCCTCCTTCACAAAACGCGTCATCAATTTTTATTTTTAAATGCAGTAAGAGTTAGAAGAAAATTCTTTGTTCAATAAATAAAAGAAGAAACAAATTTTGATACAATTTTGGAATAACATCAACAACTCGAGAGTACAAAGGATTTTTTTGTTTTTGTAATAGGTCGCACCGTTGGGCCCCGTCGCGGTTTCCCCCGGCAAATATCGCTGTACATTTCGTCCGTTTATTGCTCTATTTATTGATTCGGGGTCGGGGGGCCGCGGCCTGGGCTCAACGTCATAGAGGCGCCTAAACAAATTTTTTTTTGTTGTTATGTAAAGTAGGAGTGTGAGTAGTGTAAAAACGGTTTCCTTTTCAACGAAAGAAAACGGTTTCGTATGTCTCCTGTTTTTGGACTAAACGTTACATCCTGTTTTAGCTGTGACGTTTTTTTCTTTTATTTTTTTTTTGTAGATCGTGTATGATCGCGATAAAGACAATACAAATGTGTAACAACATCTTTATGTGCGTTTTATTTCTTCTTCTTAGATGTCTCTATGTATTCTCTGACTCTTTTTCCCTTAGTTCTACTTGATATGTCCCATATCTCCTGCCATTCTTCCAAAGCTTTACCCTTGAGAACTCCAACCACATCTCTCTAATCCAATTTAATGTCATACAAGGATGCATCCCCACTTCACCAGCCAATCTGTCCGCCACTTCGTTCCCCAAAATACCCGTATGTCCAGGGATCCAGCATAGCACTATTTCGATACCCTTCTCTAGGCATTTATCAATCAGATCAACCGCTTTATACAGGCTGTCCGGAAATGACGTACAACAGAAGACCACAAGTACCTTGACCAAAAGTATGATGATTTAACTCAACTTATCTATATAATTGCTTAGTTTAGTCGCTAGAGGGCTTTAAAAATTCATGATGAATCAAAGATAAAACGCAAAACGATAATTACGAATACCGCTGTCAAGTTTAAGTAACGAACTGTTTTTGTTTATAAAATTAATTATACCTAGCCAACTATAAAAAAAAGTTATTAGCTACCTTACATCACTCATTCGCGCTTGTGGGGATTTAGAAAATATTTTTTTGTGGCTAAACCGTTCACCCAACTGAAATTTGGAAGAGAGAAAACAGTTTCTAACTATTAGTAACTATTCAGAAAAGAAAAATGGTAGTGTTTGTTTAAAAAGATATGGATGCATAAATTATTGTGACAAAGTTTTTAAGCACCCTATAATTTTCGAAATTAGAGTTTATTCCACACATAGCTGTAGTCTACTGATACAAATGCATGGCCAAAAAATGAGTAAAATCCATCAAGGATTTTCGACTTATTTAAAAAAAAAGAAAAAAAAAATATTTTTTAAGCCCTCTAGAGGTTGAACTAAGCAATTTTGTATATAGATAAATTGAGTTATATCATCATATTTTTTGTCAAGCTACTGGTGGTCTTGCGTTGTACAGGGTGGTTCAAATTCGATGTCCGAATAGGCTAACTCGGAAACTATAAGAGTTAGAAAAAAAGTAGCTTACATGTCATGATCTCGTTTTTCGAGAAACTGCTAATGACGAAAACCTCATAGCGCTATCGTCTTTTGTTTTTCCGCCAGAAGCCAAAATTGAAAATATCGTAAAACCAGCAAGTGCAATTATCTTGGTTATTGTTATAGGTAGAGTATTATAACTCAGACATTATATGGACACTTTTTTACAGAGAATTTGATGACGTAGTCAAAAAAAATTTTTCGGTTTTAGATTTTGAGATATCACAATTTTCGTTTTTTTTAATGCAAACAACCACTGATTATTCGCTTATTAAATTCGTTATTTTTTTCTGATTACAAAAATATAGGGTTCGACAGGTCTATTTCTTATTGTTTTAGAATAAAGCTAAAAACAAACTTTTCTGTTAGTGTTGTCGAAGAAATTAAATTTACAGTTTCCTGTAAATTACAGATGGGTTGGGTTAACTAAAAATTAAAAAAAATATACTTCTGATATTTGAAACAAATATATTTGTTGAACTATTTAGTTTATATATGTTTTACACATAAGTTGGAATAGATTGCGTTATTTCACATTTTTTATTAATATTTAATATTATTATTAAATGACTTAATAAATTATTGATAGATGGCGCTCATATATTTTTTTTTGAATTCAAATAAGTTATGTTTATTTGTTAATATTCAAAAATTTTCTGAAGTGTCACTTTAAAAATCCTGTTTTTAAGATGAATTGCGAAAATTTTGAAAAGTTTGACATGTTAGAATGTTACATATTAAAAAATTATTTGTTTTTAAATACCAGAAGTTATTTTCTTATTTAATTGTTAACTTTTTAGATTTTACCTACCGCCCCGTAACTTACAGGAAACTGTAAATTTAATTTCCTCGACGACACTAGATGGAAATTTTATAAAAAAAGTTTATTTTTAGCTTTATTCTAAAACAATAAGAAATAGACCTGTCGAACCCTATATTTTTGTAATCAGAAAAAAATAACGAATTTAATAAGCGAATAATCAGTGGTTGTTTCCATTTAAAAAAACGAAAATTCTCATGATATCTCAAAATCTAAAACCGAAAAATTTTTTTTGACTATGTCATGAAATTCTCTGTAAAAAAGTGTCCATATAATGTCGTAGTTATAATACTCCACCTATAATAATAACCAAGATAATTGCACTTATTGGTTTTACGATATTTTCAATTTTGGCCTCTAGGGGAAAAACAAAAGACGATAGCGCTATGAGGTTTTCCGCATTAGCAGTTTCTCGAAAAACGAGATCATGACATGTAAGTTACTTTTTTTCTAACTCTTATAGTTTCCGAGTTAGCCTATTCGGACATCGAATTTGAACCACCCTGTACACGTCATTTCCGGACACTCTGTATATCAAATAATGTTTTTTCTTATCTCCGAAAAGATCACCGCCGAATTTATTTTGCTTCCCCCAATATAATGTAATGCCCACCAAATTGCAAATAACAAAAATGAATAAATTTCCAGACATTGTTCCTGAAAATTCTATAGATAATTCCGGGCAATAAACCCCAAATCCAGCCATATTTATCTCCTTCTTAACCGACCTATCCCTGAAAAAGAAGGTGCTGTTAGGAAACATACTTCCAGCTTCATCCTTAAATGCACTATTAATATTTGTACTGGATCCGCTCCATTTCATCAGATGATCCAGAATTGGTAACCTCAAAAGTGTCAAGCTAAGGTTTGTTCCAGTTTCATCGTTTCAGTTTTAAATGTTAATCAAAAATCTGTATTACAGCTTAAACGATGTTTTATTTTAAATGTTTTTTAGTATCGGTGCTACACGTGTTTCGCCTAAATAGGCATCTACAGGCACGACGCACAGTGGTCTAAATTCGAAAAAACCCGAACAAAAATATTTTAACGCAGTTTGGGTTGAGATAATTTTTTGGAACTTGGTATGTGGCTATAGGACTATATGCTAAAGACTTTGTGAACTTTTGGATCAAATATGGCAACCGGAAGTACTAATTTACTTGAGGTCACATTCTATTTTTTTCATATAATTTAGGTCCTTAGAATTGGATAAATACAAAATTTTATACAACGCTATTAAATCGTGAAGGATAGCTAAATACAAAATTGTTTAAACTAAATTCGTTATATAGTTTACTTCGATGTAAGGTTTCTATAAATAAATCTTTAACTACACAGTGTCTCACGTAACTGGTTCGTTAGAACTTTTTCAGGTTCTACTATTCGTACAATTTTGAAATTTTGGTAGCATGGGTTGTTCATTCGGAACTTTCAATCTAAAATATTTTCAAGATGGCTGCTACTTCCGGTCTACCGGAAGTAGACCATAACTTCGTTAGTTTAAATAGAATGCTATAGTTTTTATTACACCATTTAATTGTACGTAAAAAAATAGGTTAACTTTGTTAAAAGTTATTGGTACCTAGCGTTCTTCGTTTTCGAGTTATTTTGGTTCTAAACTTTTTTTGGTAAATTTCACCATGCTCTTTAAAACCCCATATCTCAGCCAACGTTCATTCAAAAAAGATCTAAATTAGTACGATTATTTTTCAGATGCTGTCAAATAGATTGTCATTTGTTGTATCGGAGTATCTTATAGAGGTGGTCAAAAATTGAATTATTGTTTCTCCATTTTCAATGGCGAGAAAGTAGATAATTTTAAATGGAACGCACCATGCTTTTTTAGCCTATCAGAAAGAGAATTTAATTCTCTATAAATTATCTACGTTGCTTAACAATGTGTGTTTCTTCTTGTTCTGTTTCAGACCATTCTTCGTCATCTTCATCTTCGTTGCATCCTGCCTCATATAGCTCTTGTTCTGATTCTTGTTCTTCGTCATATTCATCTTCTTCTTCGCGATCTTTTTCTTCTTCCTGGTCTTCTACATTGTCTATTATAAGTAATCTTTTAGTCTCCATACTCATCTTTTTATGTTTTCTAGAAATGTGCTGTTGAAAATTACTTATAAATGGATGTGAGCTGAGTAGCAGTCTTTTAAATAGATCTTCATTCGTATCCAGTCTACTACATTTCCTTGTGTGGCTCTCTCTAAATTTTCGGATTTTTTTGTTATTAGCTTCTTGCGCTTCTTCCGACAACTCTCCAATAGGTAGTAGAGCTTCTTTAATGACTGCAGATCCATGTATCAAAATTTTATGAACGCTGGTTGGCATATAGTACCAACTATAAAATGGACGTACTTTTCGGCAGTTTTGAAACAATATTTATCAAATTCATTGTAATTAATATTGTACCCACTGTTTATTGCAGCCAAAACAACGCCAAATCGCTGTATTAGTTCCTCGTCAATTCCTTAAATGAAGTATAAAGTGATTAGTACATGCGCGCTTACTATAAAATTGTCATAACAGTAATCTCTGATGATAATTTATTAAAACTACGTATCAACTAGTCACCTTCCAAGTTCTAATTTCTAATCTATATGAAATGTGAGGCAGACACACAAAAAACCGAATGTATGCATGGAGAACAGACAAACCAAACTTAAAACCTTCTAGCTCTACCGTTCATCTGTGAAATTTTTGCTCTGCATAAATAACATTCCATTCCAGATGATTCCTTCAAATTCCCATCAAAGAATTACAGACCTACAACATGTATGAATAATTCAAATAAAGTTTTAAGAAAACGAAGACTTTATACCTTGCCATCCACCATCGTGAAATAAAGAGAAAAGTTAACACTTACACATTTTGAGGTATATGGCTGAAGGGAGCTTATTTGGTTTGAAATATATATTTTTCTTCGGTTCTTATAAGAGCGGCATTTTCATGCACCCATTGTAATCTAATCGGTCTACAAAACCGTATAGATTATGGTGTGGGGTTCTTCCACAATACAATATTATTATCATTGTCTTCCAATCGTAATGGGACTAGGAAGACACAAATAGCGAATCATGTTTTCCCTCTGCATTTGTGATGAACTTTTGTTTATAAGTCGAATGACATCCGC